ACCAAACACACACAGAGAAAACACATAGGCATATACCTAAAATCTCTCCTTGTATTTCTCAGGGATAGAGATATCTGTCTGCATGTGTATACACAAAGGTCATAACAAATAGACTAACCCAGCAAATCTCTCCTGGAAGAATGTAGACATTTGCAGAGGGAGTGTGAAAGGAAAATTCAGCTTCATGTTGCAATGGTTTTACAAGAAGATTTAGTCACATATTACTTAATTATGCAATTATAATGTGTGCCTTTTCGGAGCAGAAGGGCCTGGTTGGGAATCACTAAATCCTAGTTCTTCTTTACACCTTTCCTTTCCCTGACTGTGTCTCCTTTCTGTGGATCCAGCCAGCAGGATAACCTCTGCTGTGACTCTGTTCCCTGTGCCCTGAAGGACCTTAGAAAGTCCATGACTTTATCGCGGAGGCTTAGGGAGAGGAAGTGTGCAGGGGCTGGCAAGTCCTGGGGACTCTGGAGCTGTGGTGTGTGCCTCACCCTGCATGTTTTACACATCACTCCTTCCTCTTAGGGAAAGCTTCTTAGAAGTAGAGCAGCTCTCAGAGCCATGGCAGAGCCTTTTGCTAAATTCCCAGGGTGGATCTCAAAAGCAGAGTGACCTTTAACCCTGTGGAGTTTTACTTGTATGTCTTCCTAACACGCATGAGAAAACTGAGGCCAAGGGAAGGGGGTTGGCCAGCTTCCCAGCTCACACAGCTGTGCTGGAACTTCTACCTGTCTAGTCTGTCAGTCACAGTCATGGCAGCCAAAACACACAAAACAGGAACTTCTGCCCTTAATTAGGTTGCACCATGCAGAAGTGTGACTGGGTTCTTCTGTTTGAATCAGTCCCTTGTAACCCCAGATAATCTGTCAAACACAATTTGACAGAACAAATTTTGGTTGCTCTTAAATGCACTGGAAGTACCTGGGGACTGCCACATTCATCCAGGGGAACAGTGATGAGACTGAGCGCTGAGCTGGGACAGAGTTGCTGGGCTCTTATCCCAGGGATATGGCTTCTTAAAGTGAGGTCCAAAAGCCTCCTATCCAGAATTGCCTTATTAAAAGACAGTTTTCTGGGTCCTATGTTAGACCTAGTAAATTAGAATTCCTTGGTGTGAGTCCAGGAATCTGCATTTAAAGAAGTGCCTGATGGTGATTGTCAACACGCTAAGATTTGACCCAAACTGAAAGAAGAGGAAAGAATCAGAGACAAGAGCGCTCTTAGTAAGAATGCTCTTTAGCCATCTTGGCCCCATAGATGGCAATGATACGATGATACAGATACACCACATGCATACACAAAAAGATGGGGGCAACATATGACAGGTGAGAGAGATGCCCTGGGAAGGGGAGAAAGAGACAGGGCCGAGTAAGGGAGGAGCTGCTCATTCATTATCCTCTTTAGAATCTTGTCTCTTTGGTGGGAGCCTGCATTGCAAGATGATAACATAGAAATGTTTAGGTAAGAGAATCTGAAGTAGCAGTGACTTCAGTATCTGAAAGACACTGTGCAGGATAGTTGGCATTCCTGGTCTTTGTTCCAACTAGACCAGCCTAGTGTCAGATTCACAAATCATCCTGGGAATGCATAAGACTTACAATCAGAGAGACGCTCTGGAGCAAAACCCATCACATATTCGATGTCTATGACATCACCATTGAGGCCTGTGTCAAAGGGGTTTTGTTTGTTTAATTTTCATTATCAGTTGTTACTTGGTTAATGAAAGATGATACTATTAATGAGTGTGTGAATGAGACAGTGTCTTCATTGCCACCTCTGAAACATTCCCATCTTTTTCAGGGTAGAATAGGCCTGACCCAAAGTGTAGCCTTTTCTTCAATGTAGAGAAATACTATTCTTTCTCTTAAAGTTCCCTGACACCAAATTATTGTGTGTCAGCTGCTTGACACCGGGAACACAATATGCACTCTGTGCTTGAGTTACTGCTGTTTTCTATGTGCAGAATGCTAAGCTTTCTTTCTTTCTTTCTTTTTCCATGAAGTTAATTGAGTTGAGAGAAGTTTCAATACCATATTTATTGGTTTGAAAGTGTAGTTGTTTTAGTAGTGGGTGTCAACTGCAAGAACTTGACACCTCTATTTAAGAAATACTGTTTAGAAGAAATTAAATTTGACTAAATGGAACCTTTGGTGCAAATCACTTCCAAACAATGAAACCATATTCACAAGGAGATGCTCTGACTTTCTCCACTGAGGAAGAAACGGAGACATTTTTCGATTGCCATTACATCCCTCCAAATAGAAAAGGAAGGCTGTGGGCCAGATAAGAAAAATAGGTTACATCTGGGCAGCCCAGCAGTGTTCCCCTGCCTGCTGAAGAAGCTCCTCTTTGTTTCCCTCCTGAAGCACAGCCTTGTTTTCTTGGGTCTGTGCTCTGAGTTAAACCTGGGTTAGACTATGGATCCCTTACACTTGATTTTGTGATTGGGAGACCTACACAAATGCAGGCCTAGAACACAATCGAACCCTTATCAACTTCCATCTCCATGAATAGGAAAGAAGCCACTTGATCTTACAGAAGTGTTGCCTGGTCGCTTTCCCTTTTATATCTATTGTTACATTATGAGATGAAATCACAGAATCATCAGTCTGTTGTTTGCTACTTTAGAATATGCATTTAAGAATTTTACAAAACAAAACTGTGCCTGAAGAAAGACTTCCTTTGGTTCAGCCATTCCTCTTTTGAGTATGTGTACACCCAAGAGACTCGAAAGCAGGGTCTGTAGCCTTATTCCCAATTCCAAAGGTGGAAGAAACCCAGGTGCACACTGATGTATGAGTGGACAAATAACATGGTATATACACACAAGGAATTGTTATTCAGCCTTTAAAAGGAATGAGATTCTACCAGACATACTGGAGCATGAACGAACCTTAAGAACCTTATGTTAAGGCAGTTATTAAACAAACAAAAAAAGAGACAAATACTTAGGACTCTACTCACAGGAGGGAATCTAGAATAATCAATCATAGAGACAGAAAGTAGAAAGGTAGTTACAGGGGGCAGAGGCGAGGAGTGAATAGGGAGTGATTGTTGAATGGATATAGAGTTTGACTTTTACAAGGAGAAAAGAGTTTTGAAAACTATGAGAAGAGATGGACAGTGGGGATGATTGCATGACATGAGAACATACTAATGCCACTGAATGTGCATTTAAAAATGGTATAGACAGTAGATTTCATGTTAAGTATATTTTACCACTATTTATTTTTTTAAAGCATTACAGATTTTATGCCAAACTTCTAATTAAGAGAAACTTCAACTCTTTCAAGAACATGTCAAAGGCTTCCCATAATGTATAAAGTAAATACTATCTTTGGTTAATTACCTGGGTCTTTCCAGAAAACCAGTTTGTGGTCACTATTAATTTGAAGAAATTGTTGGTCTCTTTTTTCCTTTCGGACCATTTCTCCCCAGCTCTGTGTACTGGTCAGCTTTATAAGTTATTTATGCTGACCTGGTGCTTTATTGCTCTGGTCTTTATCAGAAACTTGGGTCAACAGTTGCAAGCTTTGCTGGATTTGAGAAATAATAGTGGGTAAGTCTTTACTTTGAGAAACATGTACACCTCTATGTTGATATAACGTAGTTTTATTTTTAATAAGATTAGTGTTCTACTTTGTTCACACAGCTGTTCACAGAATAATAGTACAGGCCCACCGAAGTGCCTGGAGATGGGGGTCAGGAACACACGTGATCCTAGTAGATCTTTGCTAATTAAGCAATAGCAAGAAACAGAGCTAATGGACCCAAAGAGATCTTCATTTCTGTCCTCAGGAGCACTAGGTTTCTAAGAAGATCTCTCAAGAGTGACAGAAGAACGAGTGCCAAACCCCCATTTCTCAGTCAGCTAGGGAAGCTGCATTTGCATCTATTTTGTATATGCTACCAGTAGCCTCCTTAAGTGACTTTGTCGTTGTGCAAACTTTGCAGAGTGTACTTAGGCTAACCTAAGTAGTGCAGGGCAATCAGTCAGTGTGGCTGGCCTCTTGATGCAAGAGACAAGGTAAACACAAGGCACATCCGGCTGCCTAACACAGCATACACTTTCACAATGAACCTTTCTTTTTATAAGTAGAAGGAATATACTCTAAAATAATGATGGAAGTATAGTAGTATAGTAACAAAGAAATCGGTAACAGTCATTTATTTTCATTATTGTATTCTATCCTATATTATATGTGATATTCTTTTATACAACAGGCAGTAGGTGTGTTTACATTGGCATCACCACAAACAGGTGAGCATTACTTTGTGCTAAGGCAACAGCAATTTTTAAGCTCCTTTAAAATCTTACAGGGTCACTTTCGTATATGCAGTCTGTAGCTGAGAAAATAATTCATGATCATTATGTGGCACCTGGCATGACTGCATTTGAATTTGATTCACCACCCCCCAAATTAAAATCCACCTACCCTGACAATGTGTTGCTTGACTCTGTACCTTCCTTCTCCCCTTCCCACTTTCCAGCTATCCCGATTCCATGTGGGAATCCATGCAGCTAGAGGGAAGCTGAACCCATCTTTAGCAATGGAACTAAACCTAGTATCACATGACCAAGGCCTGATCAATCATCACATTCATCCCCTGGACCAGTGATTGGTTCAGGGATCAGCATGTGACCTAAGATGTGCTGATAATATTGGCACAAAGGTTTGCTCTTCCTGCTGTACATGACTGAGGGCAGGTGGCCCCAGGAAAGAGCTAGAAGCCATTCTCAACCTGAAGGATCTGCCAAAGTCTGCCTAAGAGGTGACACCAGTCAGAAGAGCCAAGAAATGGTGGGAGGATATTGGTTCCTGGTAAATTGTTTGAACCAGCCCTGAAGCTTTTCAAATCCTTGTGAGCTTTTCAATTATATGAGCCAGTAAATTCCCTTCATTATTTAAGCCCCTGCAAGCCAGCTTTTGTTACTTAGAACCAAAAACATTCTGATACACCACTGATCCATGTCAAATGCCCCTTTCATTTTACAGGCAAGGAAACGAAGACTCATGGATGCTACATGGCCAGTTGACAGGATTAGCCTTCCCAGACCCAGGCCTTTTTATTTCTACGGTTCCTAGCCATTTAAAGCATGTTTGTGATGGATTTGGCAACAATGCATACAATGCTAATTCTCCTTATGACTAACCACTAATCGGATGTGCTCTGAAATACTGACACTGATTTCCCTCCTGTTTGATTTTTGGCAACCAATCTCATTGCTTTATGGCTGCCCTGTATTATGGGCCCTCATGATTTATTAGAACGAAGAAAGGTTGAAATAATTGGAGAGGGTGTGGGGCCCACGCTTAAGACTTTTATTTCATTTATGACTGGTTTGTTAACAATCTAAGCTCAACTACGTGTCCAGCATTGTTCTCCAAACTTGTCATGCACTTTTCTTTCTTGATAATCATCTCTCATTGCCATTTCTCATCTTTCAAAAGCTCAGCCTCACTATCCTGTCTTGGGACTTCCTTCTCCAGCTAGAATTTCCCAATTCTGTGGCTCTTTCTCCATGAACTCTGGGTTCCTTCCATTTTTATTTACGCATAGTATCTCCCTCACCCAGACGTTGCTCTTACCCATCCTACCCTAAAATTATTCAAGAAATTTCTCATCAAATCCTCAAATAAATGCCGCATTAAATGGAGAAGAAAGGAGAGGGGAACCACATTTATTATTCCAGGAGAAGTACTGGATGCTTTACAGGTATTTTCTCATTGAATTTTTCTAATCTCATGGGAAGTGAGCAGCAGTGGCCTAGGCTATAAATAAGGAAGCTGAGGTTAGGTGAGTTGTCACAGTTGCATTCCAGACCTCAGCATGTACAGTTCCAAAGACACTTCCTTCCACTGCTTGGGTTGGGCCACAGGTTTTGACCCTTTTGCATCAGCTCCAAATGATAATGACCACTTGGATCTAGTATTGAGTAGCCGGAAGAAGCCTCAGTCAGGTTGAGAGGAAAGATAATAGAGATGTTTTCCAAGTTTGGTGGAGGGAAGAATGATAAGCCACCCACAACACATTCCACCTCTCTACCTGCCTGTGACACACAGCCAGAGTTAGAGGTTTCCCTGGAAGAAGAGGTATACCAGGGAGTCAAGCCATAAAGCTTGTGAACTGGAGTCTGTTGGGGAAAGTGAAGTTGAATTTGCATTTGTTGTTTATATATGGAAGCCAGGTGGTTAATTGCTGTCTGCTGGGAGGTGAATCATGAGCCACAGCAGGAGAAAAACCCAGATTCTGAACTGACCAGTACACCTTTGTATAAAGCACATGGGGGCAGCAAGACCAATGCTGAGGCTCTTACGTGCCTGAATGTCACTCTCTGGAGTGACTCATTTAGGAGGAGCCAGTTCTTATGCCCCTGCTTAGGGTCTTTCTTGGTACACAAGTCATCAGTGAGCAGCGGTCAGCTTTCTCTCCAAAGACCTGGGAATGCCAGGAAAGGAGATGGCACAAGACAGCAGGCAGGGAAATTGCTGCTTGGTGTGTTCATTAGGCCTAATCCTTCGCTGTATGTCAACATCACAGGAAGCTGCATGGTGATGTGTCTGACAGTTACAAAGACAGTCACCCTCAAGCGGGGTTAGTCAGGATATTCAGAAGGGAAGAGGCTGAATCTGGCAAAAGGCATTCCATGAATATTTAATGACTGAATGAATAAGCAATGCAGTGTAAATTAGGGCTAATTATGGATTCAGGAGATCTGAGTCCCATTTGTTTTATTTCCTCATCTGATGAATGTCTACCCCTTGGTTGCTGGAGGCAGAATCTTTGCTTATAGAAGGCAAGGAGGCAGATTTAGAGATCACTTAGAAGTGGGGGTATTTGGGGTAGAGGAAGCCAATGTATGAATGATGAGCTTCTCCACAAAGGGCATCTGTCCAAGGGGTGGATGCTGAGGTGACCCAGGAGGCTGAGCACTCTTCCACTGGGGCAGATTGTAGGTTTATCTGAACATAAGACAAGTGAGGCACCCCCCCAAGAATGAATAACAATGTATTTGAAGAGTGATGTTGAAGTAGACAAACTAAAGACACCTTATCTATAAACCGTTAAGCATGCTCTCTAGATTATGGAGGTTTGATTCCCAGTCTGGGCTACACCCTAGAATCACCTGGGAGCTTTTCAAAGCTACCAGTGCCCTGATTTTTCCCCCAGAAATTTGGATCCAATTGATCTTAAATGAGGCTCAAGAATCTTTAGGTAACTCTTTTGTGCTGTTAAGGCTGAAAATCTTCACTTCAGACAAAACTCAAAGCATCTTCAAACCAATACATGAATGGACTTTGGATTCTGAAGGAACTCAGAAGAAACATTTAGGGATTATTGATCCACACTATGCAAACCATTGACTTCTCACCAGCCCCGAATCTCAAGGCCTGACAAATTGGCCACACGAGTGTCCCTAGAGGGAGCACTAAGAAGTATGCTCATGGAACCAAACAGGGTAACCAAGACAAAGAATTAGATCCTGGAACTTGCGCAGCCTGCCAGTGGAGGGAAGGAGAGACCATACAAGGGGGCTCAGCACAGTGGAAAGAGCACCAAGCCAACCGTCAAAAGTTTGTCTCTCATTCATGACTCTGTGACAGGGATAAGGTTCTATGCCAAGGGTATAACACAACACTAAAGAATTTGCTTCTGGATATAGAACTTAAATTGAAGAAGAAAAGGTGACTGAATAAGCACTTCTCTGGTTGAATAAAAGCATAATATTATCACTGTCACCATCATCAATCATCATCAATGGACATTCATGTAGTACTTGATAATTTACAAAGAACTTGTACGTAATAATAATCACTACTTTATGGTACTCAGTAGTAAAAAGGCTTTTCTACATTCTACTGTGAGTATAGGCTCAAAATATAAATTGATCCATTTATAGGACCTTTAGGAGAAGTAAGAGGGATGGAGATTCGACACTAACAGCCAGAAAGCAAACATCTCGGAAGATGACCAGGTGCATGTCCATCAGCTCCACCAGTGGTCTCCTGGCCATGGTCAAGAGCAGAAATTGGGCCCCAGGGTCCACTTACCTTGCTGGGTCATGTGTCTTTCCTGTGCCACTAGAATCCTTACATCTGGTCCTCTCTCTCCCCTCAATTTCCATTGACAACCATCACTATGTCCTTCCCTCTAGGAGTCCTCTCCCTCCTGGCCTAGGAGTCAGAAATTCCAGGCCCTAGTCACAGCTCTGTCACTTAATTACTTCACTCCACCTGGCTCTCACTTTCCTTACCTGGAGCTGAGAGGAGCCATCTCTTGCCTACCTTGTCAGGTCTATGTCAGCCTCAAATAAAGTGATATATGGAAAAAGGCTTTGAAACATTCAAAAGCACAGTCCAGAAAGACCTGAAGAGTGAGAACTACTATTCTTTGGAGGCTCAACAGAACCAGAAATTTGATCTCATTGCCTTCAGGTCAGGTCAATGCCTTGCTTGACCTCATGACCTCCGGATCCCCATTCCCTGTTACACCAACCTCTGAGTACGTCAATGCCAGATTGTTGCCCAGATTTCTGAAGTTTATCAGGGCTGAGTCAATCACATGAACACCCCAGGTTGCACCCCTGTTTCCTAGAGTCCTCTTCTGGCTTGTTTTGATTGCACCCACTCTCTGTCTCCCACCCACTGTCCGTCTCCCACCCACACCTGCCCTTGTTCTCAGCTAAGCTATGTATCTCCTTAAGGAATACTAAATATTTTGCTACTGATCTATAATCATAATGAGGAACATAACTCAGCAGCCCAAAGGAAAAACATTATAAATTATGGAGTTCAATATTAAGTGAATTTTTAAAGAATCAGCCAAAGTGTTTTTCTTGGCTATGTTGGCTAAAAGTACAGCAGTAGACCTTTACTTTTAGATATCTTTTGCTTTGTTAAATTTTTATTGACATTCCCAAATGTGTGTGTGAATGTGTGTGTGCATGCACACACACTTGTGTGTTGATCTGAGAGTCCTGATGGCATCTTAACCTATCATCAATTCAACCATATATTTTAAATCTGTAACTTTTTAAAATCTACATAAATAAGTTTTTCTCAGAAATAATAAAGTCAAATACATGGAGCACTTTTATAAATTAATTTTTAAAGGAGCATTCTTGGGAGTGTGGGTGTAGCTCAGTGATAGACTGCTTGCTCAGCATATGGAGGCCTTAAGTTCCATACCAGCACTGAAAAAAAAAATTAAAAAGCATTATTGGAATAAAGCTTTGCTGGTGGATAGGATAGAAGACAAAAAGAGACGGAGGCAGAAAATTAAGTATTTGATTCTCTGTTTTAGAATTTTAGAACCTAAATCATAAATTAAATGGGTTATTGTTTAATTTCAGTGCCAAGTTAATTCCTTTTTTAATAGAAATATTTAAACAGGCACAGTGGCACATGCCTATAATCCCAATGATCAGGAGGCTGAGGCAGAAGGATCTCGAGTTCAAGGACAGGGAATGGAGCTCAGTAGTGAAGCATTTCTGGGTTTAATTCCTAGCATCAAAAAAAAAAAAAGAATAAGAAGAAATATTTAAATAATATAATGTACATTGTGACATACAATAAATTTTATTAGGAAAGCTTTTTAAAGGGACTTAGTGCTAATGTATTCTGGATACTTGGCAATCATATAACTAAGCAAATTTTCCAGATTGTGAAGTAGGTATTTTCAGTTAAGTTGATTAAACATCAGGACACATTTTCTAACAGTAATAGAAGCTGTAAAGGTCGGGCGAGCGTCAGAGGAAGAGACCACCAAGAGACTGTCTCATGCAACAGCAAAGGGTTTATTGGTGGTCCAGCATGCTGGGGCTCAGAGCTCACTTGAATAGAGCAAAGAGCCCTGAGAACAGCTTAAGCAGAGCTTATATACTTTCCTTGGAGAGGGCAGGGAGGGAAGTTCATTGACGGGTCAGGGCGAGTGGGCAGTTTGCCTGCAACCGAGTGAGGGAGTACATTTCTGCAGTTTGGCAGTTGGGGACAGCACATTCTGGGAACAAGATTAGCAAACAGTTCTCAAGATTTCAACAGTGTTTTGTTAAGCATACAGAAAAACGGAGTGACAAGTACCTATTTTATTAACCTTTCAAAGCCATTTATTGAGAATTTACTATGTGTTTCATACTCTGTCAGGCATTTAAATTTTAATTTACTCTTCACTGTCACACTGAAAGTGAGGCATTATTTTCCCCATTTTGCAGATGAGGACCCTAGGGTTTAAGATGGTTAAGAGAATCATCTAAGGTCATGGAACCAAATCTCTAAATGGAACTAAATCTCTGCTTTGGTCTTCTGATTCCAAACACAATATGTCACAATGCCAAGACCCACCCAAACACCTGGAGCAGTGGCAACCCATTTAGGTTATCCGCTCACTCATCAGTCTGGGTCCCAGCAGCTGAAGTCAGTTGTCCCAGTTGGTTCACATGGTGGACAACTTAATGAAAGGACCATTTACAAAGCAGGGTAAAGTATTAGTCAAGAGACCATCAAGATCCAGTAGAACAAACAGACACCACACCAGCGCACAAACAAAAATAATTTAACATAACAAAGTGGTTAATCGGGTTATTGGAATACTGAAAAGGCAAAAGAGAACATCAAAGTAACATCATATAATAGACGGCCTCTAAGATGGTCTCCCCAAATACCAGCCTCCTGATAATCCCCTTGTATTCGGAACAGAATATGACAAAATGATTAGATGTCACTTCTGAGACTCTGGAAGCCAGAGTCTCAGAAGTGACATCTAATCATTTTGTTGTATTCTCACCCTCTGTTCCTCTCACCTTCTTGAGGGCAGCCTTACAATAGCCTTCTCTATGGTAAGCTGCCTTCGGGAGACATTCACGTGCTGAGGAGAAGAGCCAGCAGAGAACCCTAACTGCCAACAACTACATAAGTGAGCCTGGAAGTGTACCCTATCCCCCTCAAGCCTCGAGATGACTGCAGCTGGACCAGTTCCTTGAGTACAGCATTGTTGGAGATCTTGAGTCAGAGGCACCAGCTGAGCTGTACTCAGGCTTAGTAAGGTATACTAAGGTACTCATTTGTTTAGTTTGGGGAGTATTTGTTACACAGCAATAGATGATGAATACACTTGGATTTAGTAACCACAAAGGCAGATGCTATTCTTAGAACTAGGGAAACAAAAGGAAGGGATTGGGTTCATTCATCTGGAGGAAGAAGCCTATAGACCCAGCCCTCTCAGGAGGAAGCACTATTCAGCGAGTCTGTGTAGCTCCTGAGCTAAAAGAAGAGACACCACTGAGCCTTCCCATGCTCACCTGGGTCAGGTATCTCCTCAGGGAATACTAAATATTTTGCTAGTGATCTATAATCACCCTTAGGAAGATAAATCAGCAGCCCAAAGAAAAGGGTCCTGGAGAGGATCTTTCATAGCTGATGCTGGAAATGTCAAAAAACCCTGAGTTGGAACCAATCTCCGTGCCTCTTCCAGGGTGACAAGCCGTGAGAAGATGATGAGAGAGACAGAAAGCCAAATCAGAGAAGGGAGTCTGCTCTTTCTCTTCCTGCCTGTCTGTCTTCCTCCCGAGCTCTTTGTCCAGAACCTAATAGGGAGCCATCTGGGGAAGGAGTAATGTGATTATAGAGTCCCAGCTCAGCACCGAGATTCAGAGATTGGAAGGCTGGGTTTGGAGCTGAGAGGTCATAGCTTACCAGATGGCACAGCCCACACCTTTGGCTACTCAGCATTCATATAATCCAGCCTTCTGCGCACCCTTGAACTTCCACATGGCAGCTTTACACGTTCACCTAATAAAATATACCCGTCCTTTACATAGATGAAGACACTCTTACCTCTTCCAGAAGGGAGTCCCAAAATCCCAAAAGTGGTTGTGTCCATTTCTGAATGACAGTTGCAGAATCTTGTCACTGTATAATGTGACTATCGGTCCCACCCATGTTCCGTACGTAACCTCTAGACTAATTTTTGTCTTATTTATTTTATATGTTTATACAAGTAGTATTTATCTTAGTGAAAAGTAAGAAAGAAATCAAATCCTGGGGCAATGAAAAACGGGACACCGCCTTAGACTTGGCGTGGATCACGTAGCACCATGGATAGTGAACCTGAACTCGTGACTTCAGTATTCTAAACCTCAGCTCTCAAATGTGAAAGCTGAAATCACAGTTCCTATCTCTGGAGAAATTAAGAGGCTTTTACTGGATGAGAGAGTGTCTGTGAAGTACTTACGAAAATCCTCAGTTAATGGTAGCTTTTGTCTAGTAACCCTGGCGGTCAAAGGACCTCAAAGAAGCTTCCAAGACAAGGGGATTCTTAAGCCCTTAAGCAGGTGTAGAAATGAAAATGGAACTTTTAACAGAATTGACCATTCCCAGTTTCCTCAAAAGTCTCTTATTTGGCTTTTGATGTCTCCCCCTACTAAAAACTAAATTTTAAAGTCCACCACCACCATATATAAATTGCAAATGATAAGGGAAGAAAAAAAACAGAGAAAGGCATAGATATTTATAAGATTTTTCATGTGTACCTAGCATTATGAAAGAAGCCATGCACGGTTGTTACAGTTCTTGTTTCTGTAACTGGTCACCAAGCAGATTTGGAAACATCCCCACTACTCATCCCATGTTCCGCTCTCATGTTCTCAGCCAGAATGTCACTACAGTGGGGTTCTGTACCTGGTAGGATGTTCCCTGCTTTCATTTCTAAAAGGGTCTAAATTTTCAGTGGTTCTGCCTGATTTTTTGAAAGTCTTAACTATGGAGCACAAGTAAGAGGAACCCTGTGAATCCCCTGGGTTCCAGGCAGAGGCACCCATGCCCTCACCATCCACAATGGCAGCTGTTGGCAACAGGTCCACCCTGGCCCCTGGAGCCCTACCTCCACTAGTTTGTTCTGCATGCCAGTGTGGCCAGCTCACAAGGCCATGGCGAACTTGCGGTTTTTCTGTTCCTGCTTGTCCGTCTGAGACATATGTATCCCATGGGAATGCCTTGACCTTTTCTGGTCTGATGGACTTATTGTTAAGGGAGGTTTCGGTACCTGACAATAATAGATGTTGAAACTAAATTTCTCCCCCCTCCCTCCTGCTTTTGGGTAGTTTTCCACTTCTGCTGCTTGGGGTATAAAAAAAGGCTGTGTTAGCAATAAAGATTATTGACTCCTGGATGAAGAACCTTGGTGTCCTGTGTGTCTTTTAACCTCGCCGTCCCTCGCCGGACTCGGCTCCCTTGGCCGGACGCGGCAGGCAGCCATCTACAATGACTTGGTCATCAGAACCAGCCACCCCAGCAGGTAGGGCAACTCCCCTCTTTGCCTTTTAATTCAGTGGCCTGAGGAGCCCATAATGGTTCAATTTAATGAGACCTGATGTGTCATGTTCCAGGTAGAGGCCTTCCTCCCTTGGGTACCCAGACCTCCAAAACAAAATAAGATTCTGTGAGTGAGACACACATGCACACACACACACACACACACACACACAGTATATACTGCATCCTATAGAACCCTAAACTTTCCTGATGTTGCTTCCCGGCTGGTTCTGTTCCACCATTCTATCTGACATGGATGAGGCCTCGTTTCCTTCTTTTACTGTGAATTTTTTTTTAATAAAAATTAATGCTGAGAAAAATCATGACAGCCAATAATTATCTGACAAGTTCATGGAGTTAAACCTAACGTCAGACATAATTTGCATCAGCTGGAAGGAATCAGCACCTATATGCCTGAAAGGACCAGGGAAAGAACTCGGGTTTCTGGGTCAAGTGAGAGCCAGGGACTCAGAACAAGTACTGCCCTCCCACCCTATCTGGCAGCAGCTCTGGCCACAGAGGGAGGCAGCTACAGCCAAAGATACAGACAAAAGTAGAAAGGAATCAGAAAAGAAATACTCCAGTCTCCTTCTGCTGCTGCCCTTTGGCCTTTAGCCAGTGTCTGTCTAGTTCTGAAGGGAACCAGATGGCAAAAGACCCATGGCAGTGCTTTCCAGAGGGGTCAGAATTCCCAGGCCCAGAGATGGCAGAGAGGGAGATGGCAGGCTTGGGTGGGAGTAGGACAGGACAGAGAAAGAATAATTCAGGCAAAAGAGAACT